TAGATGGAGCAGATCTGAGCAAATCTGCAGTACTAACATTGTTAATGTAATTCAGCCCTATTTTCCTATTTATTCATCGTAATAATGCTACCAGGGGCTAATTTGCGCGATGTGAACCATTCAGGTAGTGGTAGTACCCCTGCAAATCATAACCATTCGGTTATGATGAGCACAAGGGAAAAGGAAAAGTACATAGAAAATTTTAACTTTCCATTTTGTGATGAATCAAGTAAATATGAAAAAGTAGCAAAAATCGGCCAAGGAACTTTTGGAGAAGTTTTCAAAGCTCGTGACAAAAGTAATCCCAAGAAGTTTGTTGCTATGAAAAAGGTGCTAATGGACAATGAAAAGGAAGGGGTAAGAAATGTTATTCTTCCCTTGTTTTAATTCAAGCCGAGTTTCCTTTTAGTTTCCAATAACTGCACTACGAGAAATTCGTATTCTTCAGTTACTGAAACATGAAAATGTGGTGCATTTGATAGAGATATGTCGGACTAAAGCATCTCAGCATAACCGATACCGTTCAATGTTTTATTTAGTGTTTGAATTTTGTGAACATGATTTAGCAGGGTTATTGTCAAATGTAAACGTAAAATTTAATTTAGGTGAAATTAAAAAAGTCATGCAACAATTACTAAATGGGCTTTACTACATTCACAGTAACAAAATCCTTCATAGAGACATGAAAGCTGCAAATGTTTTAATTACAAAGAATGGTGTATTAAAACTAGCAGATTTTGGTTTAGCCCGAGCATTTAGTACAAATAAGAATGGGCAACCAAACAGGTGAATGTTTTATTTCAATCTTTCTTTCACACAATCTAAACATCGTCTGCTTAGATTTACCAATCGAGTGGTAACATTATGGTATAGACCTCCAGAATTACTACTGGGAGAGAGAAATTATGGACCACCTGTAGATTTATGGGGAGCTGGATGTATAATGGCTGAAATGTGGACCCGATCTCCCATAATGCAGGGCAACAGTGAACAGCAGCAACTGACATTAATATCACAACTTTGTGGATCTATTACTCCTACTGTTTGGCCTGGGGTTGAAAATCTAGAATTATATAAGAAGATGGATCTACCTCAGCAACAAAAAAGAAAGGTAGAGTTTTACTTTCAATGTTTTTTTTTGCATGTTACTGTTTAATTTTTATGCTAATTTGATAAAATGAAATTGTAATAATTCAATACCAATAAAATTTAGGGAAAAGAACAAATGGGGAATACCAGAATACTAAATTTCTTAAAAATCGTGCTACCAAGATAGAGGAAAACATTATTTAAGTTTATATTTATATTTAAAAACCCATACCAGAACTTTCAATGTTCATGTATTAAAATAATGATTGTTTATTACAGGTCAAAGAAAGGTTGAAGCCCTATATGAAAGACCCTTATGCATTGGATTTGTTGGACAAATTATTGGTTCTTGACCCTTCTAAAAGACATGACGCGGATTCTGCCCTTAACCATGACTTTTTCTGGACTGATCCCATGCCCTGTGATCTCGGTAAAATGTTGGCTCAACATTCTCAAAGTATGTTTGAATTTTTGGCGCCCCCGCGACGCCCCACAAACATGAGGGCACACCATACCATGGCCGCAGCACGTCCTACGTCTTCTGCGGTCCAGGATGGCGGATACCAAGATAGAGTTTTTTAGAATTGAATTTTTCTAGAGACCAGTCAATTAAATGAAACCCAAAAAGTGGAAAGAAACAATTCTTATGTGGCCTGCCAATAAAGTGCATTTTTGTGATGTAAACTAAGTTACAAACAATGTCGATAGTACATAACTTTTTTATACGTAATGATTTTTCTTTGTGTATATTTATAAAAAAGAATAACAATATTGAATTAAAATCCGTTTATGTTTATTTATTTACCTACATAAATATNAGTATACCTATGGCCACTCGGCATACGTAGAGTACAATAGCTTTGGAATACACCGTATTACTATTAGTGTAACCAACTAGTCGTTCCTTTATACCTCTCTCGCGGATAATAAGTGTCACGAGCGTTAACTTTCAAACACTTTTATCCTTTCGATTATATGAAATTTTAAACTTTTAATCCTGTAGATATTAATCAAATGGCAAATTGAAGTAATTTGTAGAATAATTTTTACCTACCACACGTAAAAATTTAAAAAGTAATGATTTTTTAAATAAACAAATTTCCGTTACTCAAATCAAAGTAATACTAAAATAACAATGTAATAACTCACCGATTTGCATTTGTACCACAAACAACTATCAAACAGTAACAAATAGGACTATAATTGTGTTTAATTTGTTCAATGTAGCTTTATTTGCTAGAAAGGAATTTGATTTGCTTTATTAATACAACGGTAACGGAGTTGTTTTACCTTTCAGCTAAAATGAGTGAGCATTCGGACAGAAAACAATGGGTAGTACGCTCGATTAGCAAAAATATACAATATTCACAAAATTAATCATTTAAAAGCGAAAATTACGTAATAAAAGAAATTCTTAATTAAAACCATTGTGTAATTCAGTGTTCACAATTTAATTATACAACAACTAGTACTTGCGCATTTGGATTCAGCCTTTGTTAACAAATTGAGACATTCCTAATGTAACAATTAAGAAGCACCCTTATTATTTAAAACACTGCAAACACTAAATTTAACCATGACGATCATGCAAGGTAATGATCAAAACGAATGATAACTCTTATTTCAATAACTCACCATTCATACTCCACTCTACTCGTAATCCTAATCCTAAGTAAACCGTTTGTTCCAATCACTGTTCAAATTCACATTGATGATTGCACAACACGATATAGATAAGTTTTCTTTACTAATCTACGAAAACTAACGCGATAATTCAATTAATTAATAGCACTCGATACTACCCATTATCATGGCGCCGAATTAATAATAACAGTAAATTGTAATATTAATTTCTATTGTTCGTGTTAGATCGGGCATGGACACCGAAGTATTTTTCTTCTTTTCAATGTTTCAACTTCCATTTCTTTCTCACACTCGTTATATCTGTCTCATTCTTTCAATCGTGACCAAGCATGCCGTTTTGCTAATGACGAACACGTTCTTATCAAAGTCAAGAAAAAACTTAACACAAACAAGATACACCGTCTTGAAAGAGCAAAAAAACGTTTGTTTGATAAGTAAAAGTTATCACGAAATAAAAAGATGTACCAAAGGGGCCCATGTACGAGGATTCAGTAAAATAAATTTGGTTTTCTTATTTCTTGGATTATATTCAATTTTTTGTTAAAAAATTGCAATTTGCCTTAATCAGAAAATTCAAACAAAAGCTCATTTTGAATATTAGTTATGTATAGATATAAATTTCTATTTCTTTTGAAAATTTAGTCTAAAGTATAGTATGTATAATAAATTTTCAGCTACCCGAGGCAAAGCCTAAATTTCCGCCATTATTTTTACAATTATGTAAAAATTTTTATTCAAATTGATCGGTACTGCAGTTAAAAGATGTACCTACACAAAAACAATTAATTTCGCCTTTGAGACGATAAGTAGTGTTAATTACTAGCGTAAATTGAATATGCACGAACTTAGCTTTCTTTACAGACACATAGAAAAATATAAATCGAACAGTTTCACGATTAGGGTTATAAATAATATGACATAATAGGA